AAAGTTATGTTTCTTTTAATTATATATAGGGAGGATATAAGATATGATGGCATTAGTATATTACCAATTTGCCATTAAAAACATGTGAAAGTAAGGGTTTTTTTAGGTAGTTCATTTTTTAATTAAAGATATAAATAAAATATGATGTGTATTAGTGTATTACTAATTTGCCATTAAATTTATGTCAAAGTAAGGATTTTTTAAGCATTATGAATTTTTACAAAAACACTCCTCCTTTTAAAGTAGTATAGATATGTGCCAAATGCTATTATAGTCGAACCACTTTTTCGCTCAAAGCGGGGTTAAAAAATATATTTTGATTACTTATGATAACAATTTAACATAAATTTTTGTACGAGACAATTTGACATTAGATAGGTTGTTCCGTCATATTTCTTTAGTAAAATGCAAACTTATATTATGAAATATCTTACTTTTCTTTTTCTTAATTTTTAAAATATAACATTTTAATAAATTAAAATATGGCGTGGTTGTTAATTGTTTAATAATTAGGCCCAACAACCTTATTGAAACTAGTATTTCACTTTGTGCATTTGTACTGGTATTAATAAAGTATTATAAGTTACTTATTTGCATATAATGTTAAAATTATAAAGTAGATAATTGTATTAACTTTCGAACATTGAGTATTATAAGTTATCTTTATGCATAGAATATTAAAATTATAAGTTAAATAATGATATTATATTTTAAAATTTAATATAAAATAAATAGTATGTAACAATTTGATTGCATATGAATAAATATATTGATTTCATAAAATAAAATAAATAATGTATATTTGTGATTTTGAGAGATCATGACCAATTGCTAGGAATATTAAATTTATTATAACAATTACTTTTGCGATTTTAAGAGATTTTACTATGACATTAGAACAAATTAATTTATTTAAAAAATAAATTTTAATCAAATAAAAAATATAATATTAATTTTAGATAAATAGCATTAACAAAAAAATTTACAATATAATTTTTTATATTACATTTTATATATCATTTAGTGTAAAATATAATTATTACTTCTTATAATAATTATTATATAATAATAAAAAAATAATTATTACTCAATTAATATAAAATATAAATATATATTTTTTTTGTCTAATATCATTTTTTGAAAAGTTAAATGACACGTAGGTATAATTTATAAAGTTTTATTTAATCAATTGCCAGCAATTGTATGTATAAAAATCTATATATATATAATTGCTGGCAGATGCATTTAATAAAACATTTAATAAAACCTTCATAATTTTCCCGCTCATTTTTTCAATTAATGTAGAAACGTTACATTTTACATTAATAAAGTGTAATAACAATTTTAAATTAATTTATTATATAATATTACTATTAACACTAACTGATTATAATTTTACATTAAATAGATGTGGAAGTTACATACTTTTAAAAAATTGTATTGCAACTTTTTTCTTTAAAATATTTATAAAATAAAATTATTATTGTCTTTTACCTAATATTAATTAATTGGCACGAGTGTCATAATTAAACACCTTAAAATCATTTAGACAATTATTATAACAATGATAAAAATATTTGTAATACTTTTCTAACTAATTAAATGTATGATCCCTCTAGACTACTAAATTATATTGTCCATTAAAATTTATGGCATCGATATAAATATTCATACGTAAGTTAAGTAATTTATATTTACATTAACATTTTCATATAGTCAAAATTTAAAATGTAATACATCAATTATCTAATATAAAATTTTATATATTGTATGCATACATATAATATATAATTTTTACTTTTTTTTGTACATGTGCACAGGATGAATACTAGTAGTGATTATGTTTGAGTCGATAGATTTAAGATACTACTATATTTGAATTTGGCTAAAAATAGTGATTATGTTCGCTCGCGTCTCTATCTTTGGTTTCCCTCTTTCGAGTATCGACTCAAATATATAAATACATTTAGCACAGAGGAGAGTGGAGGATGAGCCGGCGGATTTCTTTTTCATATTAACTCAAATCGAAAGAGACGATGCGTGAGTGATGGCGGCAGTCGCCGGTGGGGTTGAGCCGCAGTATGGCGGCGCTAAGACGTCGGTTTGGTGGGACATAGAGAACTGCCAGGTCCCCAGGAGCTGCAAACCTCACGCCATTGCTCAGAACATACGATCCGCCCTCGCCAGAATGAACTACTTTGGGGCCATCACCATCTCCGCCTATGGCGACACCAATCGCATCCCGACCACCGTCCAACACGCCCTCTCCAGCACCGGCATCGCTCTCAACCACGTCCCTGCCGGTTTGTACATCTCTCTCCTTCTATTGCAAAATGCTGTGTTCCTTGAACTATGCTATTATTATGTTTCTGAAAAGAGCCCTAGTAAATAAGGGTGGTTTTGTATGCATTTTTCATTTTCCAACTTTTGTCTGCTCTCGTTGTTTGTGTTATTATGTCCCAGAATTGATTTATGTGGATGTGGTAGTTGGAATTCGTCTGTGTTTTTGTCTAATTTTTATTTCTAGATGGCCATGGGAGAGGATACATGATTGGAGTGTTTCTTCTCTTGTTGGCCTTTTGTTTGATTCCATGGCGGGTTTATTTTGTTCAATTTCACTCCAAAATTATTGAATACAGATTTTATTAGGGTTTTCCACTTTTTGTCACTGATGTCAGTCAAATACGCTATTCATGCTGAAAGTAGCAATTATGAAATTAGGTAACCAGTGTTGGAATATATTCTAGTGAAAAATTATAAAGTTTCTTCATTCTTGATAGTTTTCTTCTTGATCATTTGCTTACAACAGGAGTTAAAGATGCAAGTGACAAGAAAATATTAGTCGACATGCTGTTTTGGGCAGTCGACAATCCTGCTCCTGCAAATTATTTGCTGATCTCTGGCGACAGGGATTTTTCAAATGCTCTCCATCAATTGCGCATGCGGAGATATAATATCCTTCTAGCACAACCCTTTAAAGCTTCTGTAGCTCTTGTTGCTGCAGCAAAGTGTGTCTGGCAATGGTCAAGCCTCGTTTATGGAGGACCTCCTTACATAAGTAACTGTCAAGATCAGATTGGTATTGATGCTTCTCAACCAGATACTGCAGCCTGTGATAATGCTGTTTCAAATAAACCTGCTTCAACAACCTCTGCTGGTAATACTCTCCCCGTGGCTTTGGTAGGCCAGAAATCATCCACTTTGAGCACCAGCAAATTCTTATATATTCCAAAAGGCGTAAATAAAATAAAAACGGAAAGTATGACAAGTTCGGCTGATAAACATGAAGAAGAAAATAAAAATGTGCAGTGCACCCGTCCACCTGCAAAACAGTTTATGAAAGTACCTCACGGATTCTTTGCTCCAAATGCTACCTCATCTAATGCAGCCGCTTCAAGTTCTTCTATTCCGAATCCATTTCCTTTGCCTGGGAGTATCGATGCTACCACCTGTTCTAGCAGTGAGATGACTCATTCCCATCAACCAGATGATTCCATTTCTCGTGACGAGACATCATTTAAATCAAGATCTGAAAGATCATCTGTAGCAATGCCTGATATTGACAAGGCGAGTGGGTCCCAGAATGGTGGCCCGGATTTCAATCATCAGGGAGGAGAAGGTTCTATATCAAAGGGTACTTCATTGTTAGATGGTGCTGGAAAGTCTATGAGCCAGTTATATTCCTGTGGCAAAGTGCATGGTAAGCATCTTCATTCTCAACACATCCAAGGCCTTATAGGTGTAATATTTCTAGCCTTGAATACTCTGAAAGTTGAGAAGATTGCACCTACCGAAGCAAATATAACTGAATGTATCCGTTTTGGTGATCCAAAGTACCGCAATATTGATGTGAGAAAAGCTTTAGAATGTGCCCTTGACCAACAAATGGTAGTCAAGCACCAACTAGGTAACATGGAGCTTTATGTTGGTAGGATTGAGAGACTATGGTCATGTGAGAATCCTGTTGGGGGTAATGTTGAGAAGTACCCGAAGGAGACCTGGAATACAATTCACAAGTTTCTGACTTCCTCGGCTGGGCGTTCAACGTTATTAGCATCTGAATGCAGGTAATACTAGCTTCCTGAACTAGATTGATTGCCTATTAACCTTTTGTTTTCCATACTTCTCTAAAAGGACGAGCGGTTTTTATTAAAAAAAAAAAAAAAATGAACATCTAAACAATCCTTCTTTTGACATATTTTTAAAATGGCAAATTAGTAATACACCAATACTCATCCTATCTTATATTTTTAGTTAGTAACTAATGTTTAATTAATTAAATACAAATACACGAATAAGACATTACACATCCTAAAAATCAACCATAATATTCTTCCAACCATTATTTCTCACGAATTTGATTTATTCCACATATCTCTCAATTGTTTTCTTCCATACCTCCCAAAAATCAATCCATAAAACAATATTTTGAAAGGATATAAAATTGTTGTTTTGAAAGACGTCCTTATTTTTAATATAATTTTAATTAATAGTACAACCGTAGTCACATTTTACAATTATAATATATAAAAGTTATTTAAAGGAAACTTATCCAACAAAAAAGATATAATAAATACTTATAAAGAATCCAAATATTTTTAACTATTATTTATCTATGTACAATTTTAACAAAACGATGAATTTTAGTAAAAAATGACAACTTAATTAAGGGGTAACCTTTATATAATAAATAATTTTTAACTTTAATTAAGAGAAAATACCTATAATTTTACTGAATCATGCACACGTGAAATATATAAACATAATTTAACAATTAGAAATGGAACAGTTCATTTAATTACTTTATTATATTTTTAAAAAAAGAAAGAAAATTCTTGCATTTAGAATTAGGATAAAATTTACACCTTGGATTTGATTTTGATCCCATAAAATCACCATTTGTTTGTTTGTTTGTTTGTTTATTTATTGATTTTTTTTTTTCCAATTTTGGTCCCAAACCAATAAAGTTAATAACTCTTCACCTGACGATTAGGTGGTTAAACTATTTTAATTATTAATACTCAAAACATTTTGAACTTTTTCATTCAATTACTAACTAAATATATCATGATATTTTAATTATTATTACTTTATTTGAGCCATTGTTTTTCGTGATACTCGCTAAATAAACAATGTGAATTAAAATTTTTTATATGCAATATTTTATTTATTGATATTATCTTAATAAAATTTGAGAGTTTATTTGGCTATCCTATCATTAAGATTATTGTTTCAATAATATTTATTTAATTTTTTAAATATATTAATAACTATAAGTTAAAAATATTGAAATCGGTATTGTTTGTCCTGATCACAAAGTATAAAAAAATTATTTTCCAAAACAACATATAAAAAAGAATAAATTGTGTAGTAATATGGGAGATTAATTGTTAAATGATAGTTTGCAATCTAAACTTCCAATCAACTCAATAACTTTGTTTTAAATAAGATTAAAAGAATTTCAGAAATTGTATAATACTAAAACTCAATCCATATTTCTTTTCATGCCGAATGGGATGGGATACCATTAAGAACTACATGATTTAATTTTGATTATATGATTATCTACAAAAATTAAGAGTATCTCGATAATCATGATATGCCTATATACGTTGAAAATTAATAAATTTTACCAAGAAATTATATCAATATATTACCATTACTTATCTATCTTTTAATTTCTGTTATTATAATAAGGCAGTGTTTTTATTGAAAAACAATGAAGGAAATAAAAAAAAAAAAATTATATGTTTAAGTATAGTAGTAATGAAAAAATTGTAACTATATACAATATAATATCAAGATGCACATTTAATTACGTATAATAAAACATGTAACCTAAAAAGTTTTATGCTTAACTGTATGCATTTTTTAACAAATCTAAAAGTTACACACACACACACACACACACATATATATATATATATTTAAAGTAAAAAAATATTAAAGATGATAAACGATGTTAAATATATAATTATGTTGTAACACCTACTATAAATATGAAAAGAAGTAATCAATAAAGATGTTATAATCCATAAAAATAAATACAAAGCATTTAAAATTGTACTTAGTGATGAAAACGAGCTGAATTGTTAAACAATTGTTAATTTTTGTTGTTTATTAATTATATGTGCAAGTTGTAGGTGCTGAATAATAGTTATTTGTACATTTATCTCTGTATATTAGAACTTTTAAAATTAAAAAATAAAAACTTAATTATTGTAATTTTAAGTAACTTTTTATGTGCTATTAGTTTTTTTAATATAATATATAAATATCATATTGCATATTTAAATATTAACTATTTTAATTATTTTATATTCAATATGTAAGAAATGTAACTCAATTGAGAAATTAATAGGTAATCGCGAGATAAACCAATGTGTGATTTCTAGAAGTTTATATGGACTAAAAAATTCATGTGTCTAATATATTTTTAATAGAAAAATTGTAAACACAATTAATTAATAACAATAACTACGACATAAATGTTTAATGTTTGAGAAGGAACACAAAAAAACTTGTCATATTACAATGAAAAAACTAAAGGATATTTCGTTGGTATAGCTTCGATTTGAAAATTTTATTGGTTATTCCGACAAAGATCAAATTAAATTACATTAGAATTTTAGTGGATTTAATGATTCCACCAATCATTAATTATTTATTGTTGTGTGAATTGTCGTTGGATTTTTTTTTTCAACCATATACTCTAATTGGAATTATAAAAAAAAATCAATGGAAGTTCCATCGGAAAGCTAATTGTAGCAACATGTCCAAAATAGTTTCATATTGGGGGCACTAAATCTATTTAGTTAATAGAAAAAATATACCATCAAAATAATTTAATGTTATTGCAGTTTATAAATTATAATTTTCATAATTTTTCATCTTTCTTAATTGTAATACTTTTTTAACACATCAATACCGTCACAATTAGTTAAAAAATGTTTTTTTTTTAAAAAGCATAACTTTTCTCAATTCAACGTATGAAAATCATTAGAAATAATATATAATTTTAAATTTTTATGAACAAAAATTTATGTTGTAGTATAGTTGACTCGACAATTGATGAATTTATAAATTATGAATATATAACTAGAATTCCAGATACAGTTAAAAATGACATAATAAAATATATTTTGAAGTTGAAGAAAAATATATGTTGCAAAAGAGAGAATGCAAATTATTATCAAGATTAAAAAAATAGAATTATAGAGTAAAATTGTAAGTTTTGAGATTTTTCATATTTTGATACCACGTTTATGTTATAACTTTAATAAAGTTATGAGCTGAATTAATTTAAGGAATTGGTTGAGTTGTAAATTAATTCATTATGTATATTTCTTTCTTTTAAATTTATTTTCTTAATAGAGGGCATGATAAAAATTATGAAAAATGTT